CGTTGCTACCTCGGTCATATGATCCTAGTCCCAACGAATTACACGAAAGGCATGCATTTTATTGCAAATCAATCCTTGTCCAACTCACAATTTTGGTGGGAGTCTGGACCGGAAGAGAACAGCATTTTGGTATGCATTGCAGAGCAAAATTCCCACCAATGTGCAGTAGTAAACCATCCTAAAATGGTGCTTATAACCAACTCCCAGGTCCCTGATTGGCAAATCTGAAAAAAGCTGGTGCAAACACTAAAACTTGGGTTTGCTTTTTAATTATTTGGTCGAATTATAGGTCAAAGCAACGCTTCTCCTAAGCTTTTAGTTGCTTAATTTGAATAACTTGAATGCTACATAAAAGCTTGTTTGGTACATTGTTGTAAACAGCATTTTACCCTGATGATGTCACTTTATACAACCTAAAGTGAAGCCTTGACAACTCTTCGAGTCTAGCCTCATTTCACCCTCTTGTCCTGGAATCGCACATGAACGTTAAACCAACTGTGGCCCCAGACATGAAGCTCATCTCGACCTATTTTTAAGGACCTTTATGGTATTTTATCCCCTTTGCACCATGAGTCTATGGCTATATTTCATTTTGGTACCGTCCACGATGCCAGATGGGAGTAAGACTCTCTGCTCGCCGTCGGAGCCAGCGAGGCACAATGCTCGGTTCCATGAGATCAGCAAGTTGTTTATTGCCTGAAGCTCAGTTTGTGCTTTTCCTCTATAAATGTACAGTTTTCTCGGTTATATTATAGCGGTTTTATCTTCTTTTTTCCTCTCTTTCTCTTCTTCTCATCAGGTGGGCTCTTCACCCGTTTACCAATTCGCACAGAATGAATCGGCCCATGCGGCCAGGGGCACCTGAAGTTAATTTAACTGTCCCCCAGGGCGCTCGTCCCTCTGAAACGTCACATTCGGCCGCAATTTTCCCCAGTAAACTAGGTAAGCGGGTAGGCGAAGCCTGTAATCACTGACTTTTTTTCTTATATTTAATATGCCAAAAATATTTGCCTCCATTGCTATCTTGTCTATCCATTTGGCCGATTTCCGTTGATTGTCTTTTCAGGTTACTTTTGATGTTGATCGTTTTTTAGTCAGCCTAGGTCGCTCCAGGTGAGTTAAAGACTGATAATTCAATTTCTCCTATAATCAGCCGACTAGGCCTGACGATGGAAGTAAATTCCACTTAGCCTTACTTCCAAAATGGTCTGTACTTTCATCCAGGCTAGACTGGACTGCAATTTCCACCCTGTTTCGCTGTTTGATAGACATTTCACGGGTCTGGATGAACTTTATCTCGAGGGCGGTCTTCTAAGGTCAGTATTGAGATTAGGGAAACCGAGCAACGGTTGGCCTCATCTCGAAATTCCGCGTTGGATACATGACTCAGCCGAGGGTCAGAACTGAACTTTTTCGGGCTGGTTTATAGTTGCTAATACGTCACCAAAACTGATGCATGTTTGTGATTTGCTGATTTCGCTTGTTAGTGTTGATGACCGCTCTGAATTGAGAAGATACATAAATAAGTTTTACTTTCTTGGATTGTATAAGCCTGTTAAGTTAAGGAACTTAGTCACTCACCCAAATTACATTTATGGTGGGCTCGTCGAATGGGCAAATATGTGGTTGCCTTTGCAATCGACGGCGTTACTTATTTTAGAAATAAGTAGGCTTCGAGACCATCAGTAATTCTGAATTTAGTCATCCTTGATCACTGAAGGTGATTTATGGACTTCATTTGTGCCACTTGGTCGTGTTGTCAGGGCGACTTAAGTGAACGAATCTTGTCCGATATCCGCTGCAATAGTGATTGTGATTATTTTTAGCGTCGGACCATAATTTTGTACATTTCCAAACGTTTTGTTGGCATCATAGTCAGCCTTATCAGTAAATCTATCCATTCTAGGCACCAAGCTACAACTGGTCAAAGAGACAGGTGAAGTCCATCCCTTTACCAACTTCCTGTCGGACGGTTAAACTATCACTCTTTCTATACTTATTCATTGATCTCAACAGAGGAGATGGAGTAGGTACATGTACAGGCTAAATGTCTGGAAATGTACAAAGTCGACTGTCAGACGTTGAAAATTATCATAATTATTATGAGAGATGACGTGAGACCGCGGTCAAATTGCGAAACTGAAGTCAAATCACTTCTTATCTTAGGCGACCAAGAATTACGGGTCTCTAATTAACTTAAACTGCTACGCTAAACACATATTCAGTTATGAATACAAATAGGGCTTCTAAGAATTCCTTAATGATTTATTGTGGCATGACTCTCTATTTGGGGGGCGAAGTTGGATGGATGGAATTCATTAAATGGTCTCACCGAAAACCGAAGAAGGATTGACATTGTTAGATTTTACGAATACATCCTCTGCTCATCGTCGTTCATCATCAGTGTAGAGGAATAGTGGTCCGAGGACTTCTTCGCACAATCAAGCATTATTTATTACTCCACTACAATCCACCTTCGGTTTCCGGGCCTACCATTTCACGAATTCCTTCCAAGCAACTTTTCCTTCGAAACGTAAAGTCATGTTAGATATTTGCTTAGTCAACAGTCCCGCTATGGATGTGATTTGGGCTGGCCTAACCTGTCTTGAATGGCATATTTGTCATACGCAATCCATGACTGCATAGTTGAGTTGTAGCATCGCCACGATACTCACGACCCATTGGAATGAACTCGAAACTGCGGTCCATCCTGAATAAGATAGCTTTTCGTTAATTTATTTACTATTTACTTAGCCTCTTCGGCAAACTTTTTGAGTCCTGTCAAAATACTCAAAATGCATTATTACATAATATTATAGTATTTCATTAGCATTTCATCGGTAGAAAATATTTATTTTATGTATTTTAATGACTGAGTCCTTTACGACATAAATAGTCTTTTTTTGTACTCAAGACTGGCTGAACGGCCATCATCTGATCACCACCCCCAGTCTGACTCAAGCTTTGGATGTGCTGCTTCGAAGACTAACGCGTTACAGCCTAGACGATATGAGGCTTATCCTCTTGCTTATTTTACTTTTTAAATAGGGTTTCGAGACAACCAGTAGGCCTTGAATAAGAACTGTATTCACCCTATTTCCAGGATGAGATGATTCGATATAAAAGTCAGGTCTACTCAAAGCATTCTGGAAAAATCAGTTACCAGTTCTTCATCGTCTCAAAGGAAATAGGATGAACACAGTTATTGTCCTATTGTTTACACCACAAGTATGACATTTAAGACAGGATAGACCTACTTTAACTTCCATCGCTGATGGGGAATATGTGTATTACCATTCATCTCGATAAGCTGATTGGTTGGCAATAGGTTGGTTTCACCGTATGGAATTAGGGTATCTTGAAAACAATGGGGCAATGACAATAGCAGATAACTGTGGCCAACCTTGTGACAGCATCCACTTTAAGTACCAAGCAAATTGTATGGCAATACACGATTGCCTATCGATACAACTAAATGAAGGACTTATGTCTATCCCGTGACTTAATGGAGCTAGAGTTATTTTGTTTCGGAGCTATAATTTATTCGAAGAAAAGTTGGGTTTCGTGAAATCTCTTGTTTCATAATTGTTGTGCTTACTTCCATTTCGAGTGAAAGTGCTTGGTGAAGAGATTCGAAGGTCGTTTCGATCAGAAGAAGACGGCGGATTACTCTTGACTAGCTGTCGATTGGCTTTACTAAAAAATTCATGTTGACGCTGGTTCCGATGCAATCTCCTTCGATTCCGATCAAAAAGTGCTAAGCTTTCGTCGGTCAAATGACAAACATCATCAGAGCAAGGTAGCATCGTGACAACCAAATTCAAACTAACGACTCAAGAAAACCCACCAGCAAATCCTTAAAAAGCGGTATATATACTCTATATCTGGCCTTTTTGATCAGGTATAAAAGGGTTTGGTTAGTTACGGTCATATGTCAACCTCGAAGCCTGTGAGTATGTCTGTTTCTGTACGCGTATGTGCCTGTTTGTGTTAGCTTATGCACGAAGCCCGCAGTGCTGGCTCAAAGCAATTAGAACAGCTGAAGTAACGTCTGTTTTCGGCCATCAAAGTTTGATGACCACTATTTCGCCCTTTCTACAAACATGTTATAACCATTAATCCGATTACGCAAGGTCGAACACATGTCTGGTTTTGTGGATTAGCCTATTTTTTGTTTTTGGTCCTAATGGAACTAACCAAATCACTTTATACCTGATCGAAGAGGCCAGATATAGAGTATACATACAACTTTTTAAGGATTTGTCTGTGAGTTTTCTTGACTTGTTAGCTTGAATTTGGTTGTGACGATGTTAATTTTCTTTGATGATGTTCGTCATATAACGGACGAAAGCTTAGTACCATTTCACCGAAATCGAAGGAGATTACCTTGGAAACAGAGTCAACGTGAATGTTCCAGTGAAGCCAATCGACATCTGGTCAAGAGGAATCCTCCGTCGTCTTCTGGTGGAATCGACCTTTGAATCTCTTCACCAAACACTTTCATTCGAAATGGAAGTAAGCACAACTATTATTTATTGCCTCTGTCGCGAAAACATATATTTCTATGTATATATTTCGTTTTTAAGTAGGTCTTCGATACTACTGGTGGATCGTATATATGAGGTGTATTCACTTTATCTTGCTTAAAGTGATGAAGGACTGGTAGTTGAATTTTATCAGGTTTCCACTGATTTTCACATAGCCCTACTTCCCAAAATGTAGTTATTTAGTCAATTGCTATATCGAATACAACTTTGCTTTATCGACAATCCCACCACAGAATGTAAGATAAGAAAGTGCATGGCCTTCCTTAAAATTCACATCTGTCCCATGACTGTATGTCACTCGTGGCAATGTGGCTTAGTAGCTAATATGTCGAGATTATGCACTATACTGTCATGGTTCGAGTCCCGCTGAGAGTACTGATGAAACCTGGGAGAAGTCGAAAATGCAGTCAACTCTTACATGGATGAGAATATTCCTTTTGTAAAAGCAAGGCTATGTGAAATTTAATAGAAACATAAGGTCATTTCATTGTGGGAAAATTCCACAGACACTTCCCTAATTACCTTAAACGAAATGGCGTGATTACATCTGCTATGTATATATCTGTTTAGCGGATGCGCCCCAACCATTCAATGCTTTCTTTACAGAAGATGGCTTTATTATTGCAATTTCTGGTTTTGTATTAGCTCAGCAAGGGCTGGCAAAATATAATCCTTTTAGTTTAGAGACTTTCAGTCTGTGTATAAATGTCTGATGAAGAGATCAGTGCGTCGATCTCATCAGAAAATTATGGCTAATTCCTGTCGATTTACGGTAGTTTGTTTTAAACATGAGATATTCAGTCTAACGTATTCTTTAAGGTACCAGCGGGATTTCGTTCGTATCAAAACGTCAAGCCTAAAGTAAGTAAAGGCCTGCCTGCACTTTCTTACATACCGTAAATACGGCAACAAATAAGAGAGTACTGAAAAAACGTACAAAGACATATATGTAATGATTTGCTTAGTTCTTTTTAGTGTCACTTAAATGTTGTTTTTGTATGTGTGTGATGTTTTGGGCCGGTGTTTGTGTATTTCAGGGGCCGAAATCCCTAGTCGTACTCTTTAATAATTACCACATATGCTCTTCGTCAGGTACTTTCACACGAAATAAATAACAGTGTTATCTTAGGAGGTTGATCTAGGCCCATCAACACTTTTATTTTTACAATTTTTTACACGGTTGCAATAGAGTTCTTTATGAGTTTCCCCCACGTTTCGTAGAACTTAACTCTTCGCTTGAAGCAATTCACTTGCCAATGCGTATCTTGGCTGGATGTAGCTATATTGCATAGATTAGAATACTGAATTCCGTCCCAAATTTTGGTCTATTGATGGAAATGATTGCATTTGTAATCTGGTATTTGTGGGTGGCAGTAGCCTCTTCTTATGCATTTAGGAATTAAGATGTAAGAAATTAATCAAATTAA